AAAGAAAACAAATGGAAAACTAGAATGGTGTGGAAGAACATTTTTTAATTTTGAGGCATTAACCCCTCTGAGCTTCAGTGTCATTATCAATAAAATGGGTGTAAATAAAACTTTGCAAGGTTCTTAGAAATAAATGAATTAACATTAGATAAGGAAACTGATATGTGATTAATGAAAAGAAATGCTGATTGCCTTCCCTTCTTAAAACTGTATAAACGTACATCTGCTTAAAACAGCCTACATATTTACACTTCACACAGTAGTGGGATTTCTTTGATTCTCATTAAATTCAAGCTAAGTCTGAAGTGTGCTGCTGGAAGTGAGTGGGAGGAGGGGAGAGCAGCGGTTGGTAAATTGTCAAGGTTGGAGGAAAGCAGAGAATCTGAAAATTGGACCAATTGCTATTGGGCTGATTCCAAATCATTGTGACCCCATGTGTGTCTGAGTAGAACTGTTCTCCATAGGATTATTGGTTGATTTGAGTTGGGGAAAGTTTATAGAGCAAATTAGTTTTTCATTCAACAGTTAATACACATTTTGTTTCGAGGCGTTGATTGTAATCTCCATAATGTAACATCTTTCTTTCCACTTCCTGCTTGCAGGTACTTTTCCCCTGTGCTGTCCTTCTATCCTATACATTCCTGCCCTCTGAGCTATCTCTGTGGTCAAATGCTGCCCTTCTGATCTCCCATGGTTGATTGTTCTAAGGAGCGTACCTTCCTGGCATAAATATTCACCTCATAGCCCTGTCTGTTGTTTGGCTGGAGGTTAAGCCACAGGAGTGAGTTCAATTTTAGGCTCAAAAGGTAACTAGGGGCCATAGTTTTAGGGGTTTTGCCAGTTTCATCAGAGCAGTAAGCCTGGTCTTTTTTTATAGTTTTATTCCACGTTTTTCTCCCCTATCCAGGGTCTCCAATTTTAATCCCTTTCCGAGTGATTGGCAGTAACAGGGCACTATTTGGTTCTTCTGGGCTCAGGGTCAGCTCTAGGATTTCTGATGGCTGATTTTTCAGGAGTAGATAGCCAGTTCTTTCTTCTGAGGTGCTTCTGGGTAGACTTGAACCCCCAACCTTTTGGTTAGCATCTGAGCACATTAGCTGTTTGCATGATGCTGGGACTTGCTGAGAATTGGAGGACACCTTGATCCTTTTGTACATTTCATTGTGAAGGCTTATTTCCTAAGCATTCTTCACAGATACATACTACTTCTGCATTAATGTTTCCAGTAACAGGGTGCAAATTTATTTGTCGTTAGATCGTTGTGATAGGGAATTTTTTTTTTTTTAAATATGGCTCCCAAATCTGCCTTCCTATCACATTTATCTATACTACCCAAAAGAAAAAAATGGAATAAGGCTATACATGTAAGAACAGACCATGACATTAGCTTTAGTTCTTTGACAATAGCAACAGATCTTTATAGACTGTCTTTATGGATCAAGATTCTTTAGAGTGCAAGCAACAGAAACACAGTCAAACCAGACCAAGCAAAAACAGAAGCAATATTGCTTCATGTAACTAGAAAGTCTAAGATCATCGACAGGCCAAAGCAATGCTCTATGACTAGACTTTTCTTTCTATTAGATTTATCCTGCCGAGTTTTTCCCACATGGTGACCATTTACACCAGGGACTGAAGACTTATCTCTTGGAACCCTTTGGAAGGAGAGTCTCATTTTACTAATAGTTCTAGAAAAACCCCAGGGCTGACCCTCATTGCTTTGGATGAAACCACCAACCTTATGCCCCAAAGTAATCACCAGGTATGAACCACTTCTAGAGCCCGTGGTGAGGCTCTACCCAAACTACTGGACTTAGAGTAGGAAGGAAAGGCTCTAGCCATATAAAAATTTGATTGCTGGTGTCAGAATATGGAATGGGGTCTGAGCAGGCAACACCAGCAACTGTCTACCACGCTGACATTAGCAGGTTTTTTATACCGTTACTTCATAGCCTGGCATTCAGGTCTTCAGCATAGTGGCTCCATTCTCTGGATATGTTTTAGCTTTTTAATCTCTCAATTGAACTGTATCTTGAATTGAATATAATGTTATAGATATGACCAACACAATATGCAAATTTTTTGATACTGGGTTTTATGTAGATGCGTTTAAGGAGCTCTGGTTGCATGGTGGTTAAACATTTAGCTACTAACCAAAAGGTCATCAGTTCAAACTCACCAGCTGCTTCTGTACAGAAGCAATCTGCTTCTGTAAAGATTTACAGCCTTGGAAACCCTATGTGGCAGTTCTACTCTGCCCTGTAGGGTTGTTGTGAGTCAGAATTGACTTGATGGCAGTGGGTTTTCTGTGGTTTGGGTGGGTAGATGCATTTAAGATTTTGCATTTTATTGCAATACAAGTTTCCTTAATTATAATGTTCACACAAATGATGTAGCAGATGGTAGTGGTAATTTGGGGTCCCAATCAATATCATTTAAGCAGGTGGTTTGTAGTCATAGATGTCACTCTTGTTTTTGAAAGCTACTGGGAATTAATGACAATCTGTCTGGAGAAAGTTGTTTCTTTCAAATCATCACCCCAAAGCAAACCATACATATAACTACTTTTTAGTCTCTTACTTGATTTGGAAAACTTATAATTTGAGAACAGACTGAGTAGATGCATATTCTGCCCATTTGCTTGTAATTTCTAACTCTCATGTTGTTGTTTCACTGCAAATTACTGTCTTCTTAAGGAACCTCTCTTCTTCCTTGACTTCTTGGACTCTACGTGGCTGGGATTCTTGTCATCCCTCTCTACCTCTTCTTTCACTCTTTCTCTACTGGTGTTTCTCTCCTCTCTCCTTCTGTGGGTATTTGTATTTGTCAATCCTCTTTACATTCTTTTGTTCTGTCTCTGAGTGCTCTTCCTGTCTCTGAGCTCTCTGGTGACAATCCCTGCATCTGTAGTTCCATCCCCTCTCATGCATTTACTTGTTCCCTCAGTTCATGGAACCGACATTTATTGATCCTTCACTCCTGGGGCCAGATGTGGTGCTGGGTTCCAGTGATATAGCTATGAGCATTATAGTCAGATCCCTGCAGAGAGGAGTTTACCATAACTCCAGCCGAGTGAAGTGAGGATGGGCCCACAGTGCTGTGGGAACGTACAGCGGGGGAGCTCTCCTAGACCAGGTACTCAGGACAGGCTTACTGGAAGAAGTTAGATCTAAGCTGGGACTGGATGTGTGGGGATTAGCCCCAAGAAAGAAGAGGGATCTGCTGGGCTGAGGAGACAGTATATGTGAAGACTGGAAGTGAGAGAGTGAGGGGCATCTGAAGAATAAAAGGAAGCCCTGGCATTTAGCTGTGACCTGCAATCAAGGGGGTAGAGTAGAGGAGACTAGAATAGTGGGCAGAACCCAGTCTCTGGAGGATTTAGGGAGCAGTGGCAAGTCTCACAGCTCCTGTTAGAATCTAGACTCCTCCTTGTCTGAGGATGAACTACTGCTAATTGTCTCCACTGCAGTCAGGTTGCAGTGGGCACTGGCCAGGGAAGGAGATGTTCTTCCATGTGACCCAGAAGTTATCATTGCACTGACCTGATGGTATTAATCTGTGTTGATCTGCCTTCCTCCTAGACTACAAGCCTCCGAGGGTAGAGACTGTGTCAATTTATCTTTGTATCCCCTGCTCCTAGCTTAGTGCTTCCTCCAGTGAGCCGTGTCTTCTTTCAGGCTTTTGCATAAGTTTTGCCCCACTGTGTAGAATACCCTTTCCTACTTGTCAGCCTGGTCCATTCTAACTCCCACAAAGCCTTCTGTGGCTTTCTCCTGGGCTGCCATAATACCGTACCCACCATTAACAGAAGGCGTGTGGCACTGCCATTCATTCCAGGCCTTTCTCTGGCCATTGGCCTGTGAACAGCCTGAGGGCAGATATACTACTCCCCTTTGTAGTTTTGGTGCCTAGCAGAACACCCTGGAGAAGACTTGCCTAGAGTTAATAGCCAGTACAAGGGGAATCCACCATCCGTCTGTCATTTTGTCATCCTGTGGCAGCTTGAGTTTTGGTATGAGGCTGGAAGCTATGTCAGTAGTGTTTCAAATACCAGCAGGGTCACCCATGGGGGACAGGTTTCAGCAGAGCTTCCCGACTAAGACTGACTAGGAAGGAAGATCTGGTGATCAACTTCCAAAAATTAGCTAGTGAAAGCCCTATATATAAATCACAACAGAATATTGTTCAATATAATATTGGAAGATGGGCCTCCTAGATTGGAAGGCTTCAAAATATAAATACTGTTTCGCTGCAACAGTGAGTCTAGCATACAAATAATTGTGAAGAAGGTGCAGGATCAAGGCAATGTTTTGTTCTACGTGGGGTCACCATGAGTCAGAACTGACTCAGTGCCAGTTACCAACAAACAGACAGTGTAGAAGAGTAATGGGGTCAGTAGAAAAGGGCCGTTACAAAGATAGAGGGACAATGGAGGTACTTTGTTGTTGTTGTTGTTGTTATGTGCCATCGAGTCGGCCCCGACTCATAGCGACCCCTCCTTGGGTTTCCGAGGCAGTATCACTACGGAAGTAGGATTGCCCAACCTTCCTTCCGAGGAGTGGCTGGTGGGTTTGAACCGCCAGCCGTCTGGTTAGCAGGCAAGTGTCTTAGCCACTATGCTACCAGAGCTCCTGGAGGTACTTTTGTTGTTGTTGTTATGTGCCATCGAGTCGGCCCGACTCATAGCGACCCCTCCTTGGGTTTTCGAGGCAGTATCACTACGGAAGTAGGATTGCCCAACCTTCCTTCTGAGGAGTGGCTGGTGGGTTTGAACCGCCAGCCGTCTGGTTAGCAGGCAAGTGACTTAGCCACTATGCTACCAGAGCTCCTGGAGGTACTTTAGTGCCATGCATATCATAAATGTGATTTTAGGAAGAGGGGCGTGGGAAATTGATAGTAGCAAATGCTACATGAGAAAAGAAACAACCCTTGCATATGGGAAGATGTGCTTAATGAAGAAATGGTAGTAATACAAACCCATTTTTTTCTCTCAGGCAGCAATGAATGTGGATCATGAAGTTAACCTCTTAGTGGAGGAAATTCATCGCTTGGGTTCAAAAAGTAAGTACTCTAACATGTGAATTTTATTTCTTCATGATCTTACCTCAGAGCAGCAGGACCAGCATTTTGGTAGAAGCCTGTGAATGGGTGACCCAGGGCTTCAGGACCTAGTTCTGAAGTGAAATCTGGAGGCACAGCTCCTGGGGTATTGTGATTCAGATGCAAAGCGTGGTTGTGATACTACATTTGAATGGACAGAAAATTACTAACCTTTTGTAATCTGGCCATACTGAAGTCTGATAATTGAATCAAGTCCAAATTTGTATTTGTCACACTATTAAGATTCATTTTCTCTGCTTAAAGCATCTACCACTTTACAGACTTTGAGCTCACTTTGAAATGACTAGGGACTTAAATGAAAATTATACTAAATTGTCTTTATTTTTTCCTAATTTTTGAGTTTTGTATAATCAAGTATTTATGTCCATGTAACTAAAATAAGCCATCTTATAGGTACTTTTTTTTTCAAGTCTTTTTCTTCAGTAGCAAATAGGTAGATACCATGAAGATAGTGACATGTAAAGCGATTGTATTACTATTCTATAAAAACCCATTGCTGTCACTCAATTCCAACTCATTGTGACCTTATTAAAAAATACCAGAAACCAAACTCACTGCCATCCAGTCAGTTCTGACTCATAGCGATCCCTTCTTGGGTTTCCAAGGCGGTTTTTCTAAGGTTTGAACTGCCAGCCTTCTGGTTTGGAGTCAAATGCTTTAGGCAATACAGGGTAAAACTGCCCCATAGGTTTCTTCATGGAAGCAACTGTTGCATGTTTCTCCCATTGAGTGGCTACTGGATTTGAACCTCTGACATTTTGGTTAGTAGCCAAGTGCTTTAGCTACTGTGCCACCAGGGCTCCTTAGTATTAGTATTACCAAAAACCAGTATGAGTTGATTCTGATTCAGAGCAACCCTATAGAACAGAGTAGAATTGCCCCATAGGGTTTCCAAGGCTGCACATCTTTACAGAAAAAGACTGCCTCAACTTTCTTGCATGAAGCAGCTAGTAGGTTTGAACCACCAGGCTTTTGGTTAGCGGCCAAATGCTATAAACACTGTACCACCAGAATTCCTAGTATTAGTATTAGTAGTATACTAATTGATAGTATGAGTGCTCTTTCCTAAATTATGATTATAGTCACTATTATACTTGCCACTTTTGGTATTTGATAACATCTCAGACAACATATATGAAATTAAGTACCTCAGTAATTATTTTGTAGTGATAGCTTGCTTCTTCTTACTTACAGCTTTGTCTGCTTATGAATTGTAAATCCTTTGAAATAACAAGACATATTTTGAAAATTTCATTGAGACATTACTGTATTTTTATACAAATAATGCACAAATGTTTGCCAATCATGCCTCCCTCCCACCCCCATATTTTCATAAGTTCACTATGCTAACTTTTTTACGGCAACATGTAGAAAAAATTGGCATAGCATGCTTATGAAAGTATTGGGAGGGAAGACTTAGATGTCAAAAAACCATAAAATACTTTATTTGCATAAAAATATGATAATGTTAAATGCCTCCTGTATTACTTTTCAATTAGTGCTGTAAGAAATCACTACAAACTTAATGATGTGAAACAACACAAAATTATTATTTCAGCAGGTCTCTGGATCAGGACCCTGATGCAGGTCTCACTGGTATAAGATCAGAGTGTTGGCAGATATATTCCTTTTTGGTGGCTCTGGGGGGAATCCTTTTCCTTGTCTTTTCCATCTTCTAGATGTCACCCACAGTCCTTGGCTTGTGACTCCCTTTCTCCTTCAAAGTCTGTAAAAGCAGGAGGAGTCTTCATGGTTCCTCATTCAGACCTCTTCTACCCCACCTCTTCCATTTTCTAGGACCTGTGTGATTACCTTGTGACCACCTATATAACTCAGGATAATCTCCCCATCTAAGGACCTTAATTTAATCACATCTGCAAAGTCCCTTTTGTCATATATGCTAATGTATTCACAAGTCCTAGGGATGAGGTCATGGATATCTTTGGGAACCATTATTCCTCCTACCACATCCCCTTTTGGTCTTTTCTGGTCACTTTATTTGTACATTAAACCTGAGTCATCATTACTGAAGTACACCAAGAAAAGATAAGCATATAAAAGTTTGTGTGAACTCAACAACCAAGTGACTTTAATTATATAGTCAGTTTATAAATATTTGTTGAGCATCTAAGTATGCCAAACACTCTGTAAGTCCAAGTGCTATAAAGATAGTCCTTTTCCTTGAGAAAAATAGATGAAGACTCATGAGGCAGTTATCAGAAAAAAATAATATACTGAACTGTGAAGTATTGACATTCAGTTCACTGTAAGACAAAACTCATTGCCAATGAGTCAATTCCAACTCATAGCAACACTAACAGGACAGAGTAGAACTGCCCCATAAGATTTCTAAGGCTGTAATGTTCATGAAAACAGACTGCCACATCTTTCTTCATGGAGAGGCTGGCGGGGACCTCCCACCTTCCAATTAGCAACCGAGTGCTTAACCATTGTGCTACCAGGGTTTCTTCAATTCATTGTAATCCCAGAGAAATATATTATTGAAAGATGCAGCATCGAGGGGCACTTAGCCAAGACTTGAATCACAGATAGGACTTTGGAGAGTAGGCAGGTCAGTTCCATGAGCTGAATTTGGGCTGGGAATGAATCTGATGTTTGTGGACAGCACTGAGGAGACAATGGAGAATAATTTATTTAGTCCCCTAATCCAACAAATGGACAGTGCTTTCTTAACCTCATTTTTCTCCCACCCAATTTACCATGCCCACTTGATGGAAATTTGGGGAGTCTTATTTTCAGTTGTGATATGTTCTTTCTCCCATGCTTCCAGTTTCTCCTGAGTTCTCTGAGGTCCTGGTAGTTTTAGGAGGACTACTGTTTGGATTGCTAACCATTTGCAGGATTTTTGCAGAATATTCTTTTCCTTTAGGTCTTCATCCACATTGGCCTAGTGTGTATCGGTTAGATTCACTTGCTTTAAATCACAGCCTCTGCGTCCTGGGCAGCCCCCACCCACCTGCCTCTGGAGGCTGAGGTGTTGCTTCATGCTGAGCAGGTTTCAGTGCAGCTTCCAGACAAAGATGGACTAGAAGGAAGGGCCTGGCCACCAACCAGTGAAAACCCTGTGGATCACAGTGGTCTCATCTGCAGCCGATCATAGGGATGGTTCAGGACTGGGCAGCCTTTCATTCCTTTGTGCACAGGGTCACTGTGAGTGGGATGCTGACTTGATGGCACCATGGGTGGAATGCTGACTTGATGAAAGTATTATTATCCTAATAAGAAAAGGTGAATATCTACTTTAAAATTAGCAGCTTTATAAATTAAAAGACTATAAAGTAATTTTAACTTCTGTAAGCATGAAAATATTTTCAAGTCTCAGCTTTAAAAGGCTATGTTGTCTCACGTGTCCCTGTTAATGGATGACTAATTGGGTTAGAAAGCATATATGGAGCTGTGCTATCTTCTGACACATTATTGTAATCACTGAAGTTGTGTCTGGAATAATTTTGACTAATCTACTTGTGATATGGGGAGCCCTGGTGGCACAGTGCTTACAGTGCTTGGTTGCTAACTGAAAAGTCGGTGTTTTGAACCCACCAGCCGCTCCTTGGGAGAAAGATGAGGAGTCTGTTTCCATAAAGATTTGCAGCCTTGGAAACCCTATGGAGCAGTTCTGTTCTCTCCTATGGGGTCGCTATGAGTCAGAATCGACTTGACAGCAGTGGGTTGGGTTTTTGGGTTTTGCTGCGTAAGGTGTATGAAGTCAAGTGAGAAATTGATCAGTTTTATATTTTATTTTTTAAAATCAAATTTCTTAAAGTCTCTCATTTTTCATCTACTGTAAAAGATTGAAAAAGATTATTTGGATATTGAAATTCCTTCATTGACAAGTATTTCTTGAGTGCCCCCTTTGTGCTCCGTGTGCATTCAAGATGCAGAAATAAATAAAACTCTGTCTGAGTCCTTGAGCACCTCTTTAGATTGCTGGAAGATACAAGCAAATTGGAATCACGTGTTGGGAGTGGTTACGAGAATGTGCTCTGGAGTCAGATTCTCGGAATGAATCCCTAGCTCCTCTGCACGCTTGCTCTGTGACCTTGAGCACATGCCTAGACTTTTCTATGCCTTGGTTTCCTTATTTTTAATACTAATAATAGTCTATATTGATGTTCAAAGATACCTTTTTTTTTTTGCACACTTTGTATTCTCTGAGATAAGGATGTATTATGTGATATAAATTGGCAGCTTAATTGGAATATAAAATAATGGTGCTTCTTGTGATCAATTGTGTCTTATTTTCAATGAAATGAGGATAATGTGAGTTTAATGAGTGTCAAATGCATTGAGCAGTTCTTAAGAAGCATGTGCTCAATAAATGTTAGCTATTAATTATTACAATTGATGGTGAGTGCTTTAATGGATTATATACTTAATTATATATGAAGAGCTATTATTGCAACCAGGGAGATCACAGAGAGCTTCTCAGAGAAGGTGACGTTTGAGTTGATTCATGAAGGAAAAAAATTCAGCTAGGGAAAGGAGTCTGGGATGCTAGGCAAGTTGCTCAACATGGGCAGAACTACCCAGGCAGGATCTCTATGTCATTTTGGGTAACAGCAAGCATTCTCTTATGACCGGATCAAAAAGTGCAGGAGCAATATGGCAGGAGACCAGGATAGGGTGCAAGTCGTGGGTGCAAGGGCCATAGCATGGAGGACTTTATCCTTGAGGCCAAGGACTTCACTTTACTTTGAAGGTGATACAGGGCCATGGAAAGATTAAAGGAAAAGAGTATCAATTAAGTTTGTGTTTTGTAAAGTTCATTCTGCACGAATGTGGTGGGTATGTTAGGGAGCAAAGATGGAGAAAGGAAGGTTGGTAAAGAGTTTTGCATTTACCCAGGTAAGAAACAATTAGAGCCTGAATCAAGGAATTGTCAACAGAAGAAGAAAAGTTAGAGTGACATAGGATATCAAGAAGGTAGAAACACCTGGGCCTTTGTCAGCATGAGGAGTGAGCGAATAGAACTCTGGGATTGCTCTCAGGTTTCTGCCTTTGGAGCCTTTTAAAAATTTAACCTAAATTGAGAATTTACTGTGAGTTAAGCATTCTTTGAAGGTCTTTATCTATAAATCCATTGTTGTCAAGTGGCTTCTCCTCACAGCGACCCTTACCTATTGTGAGGGAATATTTTTACCCTCATTTTATGATGAGAATTTGCCCAGGGTTACCCAGCAGCTCCACTTCTGTTTACAATTCATGCAAGATTCCCTTTGCAGAGGGTCGTGCGGCTAGAAGGTTAGAAACCAAAGAGGCACGGCATTGACTTCCAGGTCAAGCATCATCAGGTTGTCTACTGTTCTTTACAAACTTATTTCCTTCTCCTTGGAGATAATTTTCTCCAAGTGAGCTGTTCTAGTCACTCTTCTCCCAGGTCCTCGTTTTCTCCCATGCTTAGGCCTGGCTTAGTCTTCCCATTTCTGTCACTCATAATGGGGCCAGCTGTCACTGACTGAGTGCTCAGTGTATATTGGGCACTGTGCCATGTGCTTTTAGAACTGTGTCTTCTACAACACTGTGAAAGAGATAGTAAGATGCTTATTTTACAGGTGAGGATATCTGCACCCTTCATTGTTTAAGGCCAAATAAGTAGTAGGTGGCAGAGATTTCAACTAAAGTCTGTCAGGTTTTTAAAAGCCCCATGTTATACTCCTTTAAAGTCCAAAACAGGTACCACCTCCTCCACAGTCTTCCCTTGCTACTCTAGCCCAAAGTCATCTTTGTTGTTGTATACTGTTGAGTCAATTCCAGCTCATAATGACCCTATAGGACAGCGTAGAACTGCCCCCATAGGGTTTCTGAGACTGTCATCGTAAGGGAAGCAGATCACCAGGTAGTTTCTTCTGTGGAGTTGTTGGTGGGTTTGAACTGTGGACCTTTCAGTTTAGCAGCTGAGTGTTTTAACCGTTGTGCCACCAGGGCTCCCTAAAGTCATCTTATCCTCCTCAAAACTGTAGGACATATTTTTACTACTCATTTGACAGCCAATCATATAATTCTTTGTACTGTTTCTTTATTTATTATGTGTATCTTTCTTATTTCTTCATGTGACTTGAAGCCATTTCTATGAAAGCTAGAATCCAAAACCAAATGAAACCCACTGCCATTGAGTTAGGAGCTCTGGTAGCATAGTACCTAAGGCATTTGACTGCTAACCAGAAGGCTGGTGGTTCAAACCCACCAGCCACTCCTTGGAAGGAAGGTTGGGCAATCCACTTCCATAGTGGTACTGCCTCGGAAAACAAGGAGGGGTCGCTGTGAGTCGGATTCAACTTGACAGCAGTGAGTTTTTGTTGTGGTTTGCCAGTGAGTTGATTCTGACTCACAGTAAGCCTATAGGACAGGGCAGAACTGCCCTATAAGGTTCCCAAGGCTGTAAATCTTTACGGAAGCAGACTGCTTCCTCTTTCTCCTGCAGAGTGGCTGGTGAGTTCAAACCACTGACCTTTTGGTTAGCAACCAACTGGTTTAACCAGAACTTCTAGTGAAAGCTAGAAAGAGATTCTCTATTTCCTTGTATCTGCCCATAATGCCTCTTACCCACATATTTCACGAAACATCCAGTTGGAAGTTCTAGCAGAGGAGCATAGGAGTTCAAGGATGCTCTGGCCAAGGAATGCTCCTCCTCTCACAGTAATGGCCATCTTCTTGGCTGTGGGCACAGCTTTGGGTGAGAGAACTTGCACCAGTGTGGAAAGAAGGGGTCAGGAGCTCAGCTGTATAAATCAAAGGAATCAGCGCACCGTGGGTGGTATCCCAGATCACACTAATCTCAGTTAATTGATGTTTTTGAACACTTCCTTGTGCTTTAGCTGAATCTTTACATAGGAAATTAGTTTTCCAATCAATAATTCATACATACATTGTTCCTTGACATTGATAGCAGTCCCTGCAAAGGGTCAGCACTCCTCCCATTTCCTCTCTGGGTTCTCTGTCCATTCATCCAGTTTCCTTGTCCCTCCCTGCCTTCTCATCTTTGATTTTGATCAAATGTTGCCCGTTTGGTCTCATGTAATGGATTGTTCTAATGAGCACTTTCTTCACAGTTGTTAATGTTTAATTTAGTAAAGGTCCATTTATTATTTGGCTGAAAAGTGGCCTTTGGGAGTGTCCTAGTTTCAAGGTAGAAGATTGTCTTAGAGTAAATAGTCTCTCGGATTCCTCCAGTGTCTTTCAGACCACTAAGTGTTTTTTTTTTTAAACATTTCAATTTTGTTCTACATCTTTCACCCCTTTTAACCAGGACTCTCTATTGTAGTACTGGTCAGAGTAGAAGCTGAGCACCATCTAGTTCTGGTCTCAGATTAGAGAAGGCTGTGGTTCATGTAGACCATTTGCTCTCTAAACTTTCACCCAAATCACAATAAAAGTTAAAAACCTAAAACAAAAAGAATCTGCTAATTTGTTTAGTTTTTGGCAGATTCTTTTTGTTTTAGGTTTTTAACTTTTTATTGTGATTTGGGTGAAAGCTTAGAGAGCAAATCAGTTTTCTGTTACAAAATTCATACATGTTTTGTTTCATGTCATTGATTGTAATCCCCTCAGTGTATCATCACGCCCCCTGCTTTCTCCCTGTTTCCTGTTTCTCTTCCTCCTTCTCTCTTCTTCTGCTCTCCTTCCTGCCCTCTGAACTTTGTTCTTGGGCAAATGCTGCCCTTTTGATCTCGCATGATTGACTGTCCTAAGGATTACGTACCTCCCTATTGCTGCTGTTCTCCTTGTAGACCTATTGTTTAGCTGAAAATTGAGCCATGGGAGTGAGTTCAGTTCCAGGTCCCCAGGGTGACTAAGGGCCATAGTCTTTGGGGTTTTACCAGTCTCTATCCAAACAGTAAGTCTGGTCTTTTTTATGATTTTGAGTTTTGTTCCACAATTCTCTTACTTTATCCAGAACCTTCTAATGTGATCCCTTTCAGAGTAGTCAGTACTGGTAGCCAGGCACCATCAAGTTCTTCTGGTCTCAGCGTCATGGAAGCTGAGATTCCTGTGGTCCATTAGTTGTTTGGACTAATTGTTTCCATGTGTCTTTGATTTTTTTCATTCTTCTTTGCTGTGCATGGGAAGAGACCAGTAGTTACACCTTAGATGGCTGCTCACAAGCTTTTAAGACCTGTGGCTATTCACCAAAGTAGGATATAGAACATTTTCTTCGTAGTCTATGTTGTGCCAGTTGACCTTGATGTCCCCTGAGATTATGGTCCTGACACACATGGGATTGTCTTGAGTCAGAGTTGACTCGACAGCAACTGATTTAACACATTAATCTTCAAGTCTTTGTCCAGATAATATAAGATTAGGAGGCATACCACATATTATTTTTATTCTGTCACTTTTTGGATCTGGGAAGGGGCTACAATGAATTTATGATTGCTGATTGTAAATCAGAGTCTTGATTAGCCCTGAGTAGATGTTTATTAAAGATTCTGTGAATCTGCTATACATACATGGAGGCAAGAAACAGACTGCATTTGCTAACATTATATTTTCTTAAATCAGATGCTGATGGAAAATTAAGTGTGAAATTTGGCATCCTCTTCCGAGATGACAAATGTGCCAACCTCTTTGAAGCACTAGTCGGAACTCTCAAAGCTGCAAAACGAAGGAAGATTGTTACGTATCCCGGAGAGTTACTTTTGCAAGGTGTTCATGATGATGTTGATATTGTATTGCTGCAAGATTAATGTGGCTTGCATATCCTTGTGTATTGCTGTTTGTGTTTAGTAAACTGGATTAAGTCAAAGGACAAACATGTTAGCATTCTTAATGTATATTTATAGAACTTTATAAATAAGGAGACTCATATTTTATAAGTCTGACCTTTTATTATACCTGGAAAGAAAATTTATGTATTACACTTGAAAATAAACAAAACCTATTATTTTTCTCAGGAATCTGGTTAGAAAATGTAGGCAATGAGGTGTTTTTTTTTTTTTTTTTTAATTGGGGGAAGAAATGGGGAAGTGTTTGTTTCATAAATCATTCTTAGACAATTTTATAGATATTTGCTGTTCTGTGAAAGCAAGAAATGAATTGAAAACCATCTCCACAAGGAATATTATAATGTATATGTAATAAAGACATGTAACAATCTTAAAATTGCCTTATTTTATCATTGAAGTATTTATGTGCCTCTTAGAATTGGTTTGCATCAGGATTGGATAATTAGAATAAAAATGATCTTGATTTGAAGAAAAATTCTTGTACAGTACAGAATTTTGAAAAAGGGAGATGAATAGTATTTGTTTAGAGCCTATGAAATATTAATTTGATGGCTGTTGTGTACTTAACACTAAGTTAGGGGACATGTCAAAATATAACCTAAAAACTTCATTTTTGTAAAAAATGTTTTATTGTAAAATATATATGACAAAAATTGCCATGTAAACCATTTTTAAGTGTACAATTCAATGACGTTAATTATAGTCACTGTAGTTTGTAACTATCACTAGGGTTCATCACCAAAAGTTTTCATCACCCCAGACAGAAACTCAGCACCCCTAAGGAATAAATCCCTCTCCCCACACCCCTAACCCCTGAAAACCACTAATAGATTTTTATCTCTATGCATTTGCCTACTAGATATTTCATTTAAATGGAATCATACAGTATTTGCCCTTTTATGTCTGACTTATTTCTCTTAGCATGTTTTTAGGGTTCATCCATGTGGTAGCATGTGTCAAAACTTCTTTTTATGACTGAATAATATATATTACATTTTGTTTATCCATTCATCTCTTGGATGGATAAACATTCATGAACTTGGGTTGCTTCTGTCTTTTGGCTATTGTGAATGATATCACAACAAACATTGGTGTACAAGTATATATTTGAATTCCTGCTTCCAATTCTTCTGGACACATAGGAGTGGAATTGCTGGGTCATCTGGTAGCCGTAATTTCTGAAATAAACTCTTTCCCTGACCTCTTCCACTCTTTAGGGACCTACTGTATGCCTGGATCATGCTCTTCAGCCCCAGGTGGCTACAAGCAGTTACAACCTTCAGGCATTGCCTGCTGCTCCTTAGCCCTGTGTAAGCTCTGAGGTAGGCAAAACTGAAATGAGTGCCTTGCTTCAGTTCTTCAGATAGCCCCCAAAGAGGTTAGAACAGACTGTGGTTGTTAAGGTTATGTGTCAACTTGGTGGGGCCTGGTTTTGAGTGGCTGGGCAGCTGGATGTAGTTATTACCTATGGTGAGGTTGGTAATCAACTTCATGGTTGAATCTGCTGGAGCAGTAGCTGCCTTAGGGGTATGGTCTGCTTCTAGTGTATAAGGAGAAGCATTGAGAAAGGTCTCTGCAACTTAACTCCAACAACACACAAAAACTCAGTTCCTATACCGCTCTTTCCCACCTTTATGTTGTTGTCACAAATTACATCTTTATACATTGTGTGGACAATGCATACATTTATGATTTTAATGCATTTAGTTTTTAAATCATGTCGGTCATAATGTAGTGTTACAACACAAAAATATCATAAAACTGGCTTTTTAATTTACTTTTAGTGGAGATCTTTTTTTCTTCATATGGCTTTGAATTGCTGTTTAGTGTCCTTTCATTTCAGCCTGAAGGACTACATTTAGCATTTCTTGTAGGGTGGGTCTTGGGGAAACAAGCTCCTCCAGCTTTTGTTTTCCTGGAATGGCCTAATTTCAATTTCATTTTTGAAGAATGGTTTTGCCAGATAAAGAATTCTTGGCTCACAGTTCTTTTCTTCCAGCACTTTAAATATGTCATCCTGGTTTAAATATGCATTAAATATGCATTCTGGTTTCCATGGTTTGTAAGGAGAAATCATAATCTTATTGAGAGTCCTTTTAATGTGATGATTTGCTTCTCTTTTGTTGCTTTCAAGATTCTCTCTTAATCTTTTGTATAGATTATTATGTGTCTTATTGTGAAGGATCTCTTTGGTTTTATCCTTCTTGGAGGTTGTTGAGCTTCTTGGATGTATAGATTCATGTCTTTCATCAAATTTGGGAAGTTGACAACCATAATTTCTTCAATATTCTTTCTGCCCTTTTCTCTCTTCTCCAGGACTCTCATAATGTGCATATTGGTCTGCTTGATGGTGCCCTTCAAGTCCTTTAGGCTCTGTTCACTTCTCTTCATTCTTTTTGCTCCTAAGACTTGATAATTTTAACTGTCTTAGTTTCAAATTTGCTAAGTCTTTCTTCTGCCAGGTCAAATCTGCTGTTGAACTCCACCAGTTATTTTTCATTTCAGTTATTGTGCTTTTCAGTTCTAGTATTTGTTTTGTTCTTTTTTCATATATATAATTTCCGTCTCTGTACTGATATTGTTCTATTCTTGTATCATTTTCCTGTTTCTTTTATATCTTTGTGTTTCTTTTAACTCTCTGAGCATATACACAATACTATTTTTTTATTTTATTATTATTATTTTTAATATTATTGTTTTAAAGTCTTTGCCTAGTAAGTCCATTATCTGCACTTCCATGGAGAGGTTTTGTTTCATTTTATTTTCTTTTGAATGATCCATTCTTTCCTGTTATTTTGTATGCTTTGTGATTTGTTGTTGTTGTTATTGAAAGTTAACATTAGAATATCATAACATGGTGACTTTAAATGAGATTCTTTCCCTTTCCTGGAGTTTACTGTGCTTTGTTTAAATTGTTGAAAGCTATTTTCATTTGTTTGTTTAGTGACTTACTGTGGTGTAGTAAATTACCTGGTATGGCTTTTCTAGTCATAAGTCTTTGTAAACTCCGTGGTGGAATTTGCTGTGAGCAACTGAGTAGCTCGTGATTGTTAAAGTTATCCACCTGAGGTATTTCTGTTGAGAGTGGCAGGAAGCAATCTTCTGGGAATTTCTCTCTCTCTCTCAGGTATATAGAATTCTGATGTTGCAATTGATTAGTTTGGCCACTCTGCCAGGCTCAAAAGGAGGAACCCTTCTAGAGACAGTAGAAGTCTCTTTGAGTACTGGCTGAGAAAGATGTGCTGCTGAGAGAAACACACTTCTGAGAGACACACACTTGCTGAGAGAGAGACGTGAGAGACACGCATTGCTGAGAGAGAGACGTGAGAGACACGCATTGCTGAGAGAGACATGAGAGACATGCACTGCTTAGAGAGACATGCATTGCTGAGAGATACTGAGACTGTCAGCTGAGAGATGGCAGGCTGCAAGAGACTGAGTGCATTTCTGAACTTGAGTTGTAGCCTGTTTCTTCCCTAATAAACCTCATATTCTGTGAGTTCTGTGTGGCCACTGCAGTGAATTATCGAACCCAGCAGAAAGGTGGTGGGTGCTGCAGGAGGAACGGTTGGTGTCAGGGTTGGTGAAAGGGTTGGAGGAAGGCAGCATGTCTGGCCTTGTAGGAATAGTCTTTGGGCTACTGATGGTGATTCTGTCTTCCTCTTGTGGGGTTAGAAGAAGTCAGAAGTTGCAGCCTCCCTGCCCCTTTGGCACTTACCCTAACTGTTTTTGGAAAGGCTGCTTTCTTGGATGTGTTTTTAAATCTCTGTTTCTTAGTTTATGTTCAACTAGTGTTTTGGCAGTGATTTCCTTGAACACTAGTAGAGAAACAAAACAAACAAAATAACCCTCTTCTATGAGTTGGGTATGACTCGATGGCACATAACAACAACAACAACAAAAGTCTTTGCAAATTGATTCTGTGCCAGCACCCTCCTTCAAAACTCACTTGCTCTGAGTCTAGGGACCAGCCCAAGGTGAAAGCATAGTCATAACAGGTAATTTCTGAGCATTATGCTTTGCCCTGGGCATGCATATGGTTTTCTTAATCCTTCTGTTTACACAATGCTTTGAAAAACCTTAATTTCTGAAATAAACTCTTTCCCTGACCTCTTCCACTCTTTAGGGACCTACTATATGCCTGGATCATGCTCTTCAGCCCCAGGTGGCTACAAGCAGTTACAACCTTCAGGCATTGCCTGCTGCTCCTTAGCCCTGTGTAAGCTCTGAGGTAGGCAAAACTGAAATGAGTGCCTTGCTTCAGTTCTTCAGATAGCCCCCAAAGAGGTTAGAACAGACTGTGGTTGTTAAGGTTATGTGTCAACTTGGTGGGGCCTGGTTTTGAGTGGCTGGGCAGCTGGATGTAGTTATTACCTATGGTGAGGTTGGTAATCAACTTCATGGTTGAATCTGCTGGAGCAGTTGAATAGCTGCCTTAGGGATATGGTCTGCTAATGTATAAGGAGAAGCATTGAGAAAGGTCTCTGCAGCTTTATGTCATGTTTGGACCCTGCATGTAGACAAATCTTCATTTAACAGCCTGCCATGTTTCCTGCCATCTTGGGACTGTCTCTGGACTTGAACTAGTGGCCTGCTGTGTTGTTTGGTAATATTGAAACTCTGACAATTTGTTTGTCGACCTTGGACTTCCCAGCCTGAGCAGCCAGCAGCAGCCTGAGTGAAGAGACACCTCTAGCTCCAGTGGGCTGGGAACTAGAGGGAGAATGGAAGCCCAAGGTTGAGGAGCTTTCACCCAACCCCTAGAGCATGGCACTTTGAACTTGGACTTTAGACTTTGAACTTTAGACTCCAAAACTAAGAGAATACACTCCTGTTTATTAAAGCCACCCACCTGTGGTATTTCTGTTAGAGTAGCACTAGAGAACTGAAACACAGACATAGCTAATAATTGGAAATAAAGTCCGCTCTGCACCCTCTACAACCAGGGACCAGGCTCCCTC